CCCCCCCCCCCCCCCCCGGTAAGACGGCATTTTCACTCACCCTTCTCCCAGCGGCCCAGATCCTCAGCAATACCTCCACCTCCCCCACCGCGGACCCCCAGCGCTCGTCCACGACGTGGATCTGGTCCTCCCCGGCGCCTCCCCCGCCGCGCGCGGCCCGTACCCCCAGGCCGCCGGAGGCCGTCGCCTGGTCCACGAGGTCCTGGTCGATCACCACCTGAAGGCTCCGGAGGTGAACCGCAAGCTCGGCGGCGCTCCGGCACCGTGCGACGCGCGCGTGCCAGAGCGCCGACACGGGAACCTTGGCGCCGTCGACGGCCGCGCTCGAGGTGCCCGCGGGGGTCACGTAGCAGAACCCCGGGATGGGACGGTGGGTGCCGCGCCTGGCCATGGCGCGAGCCAGGCGGGACGGCGGCTGCTTCCGGCTCGTCGGCGGGAAGAACCGACGGCCGCGGAGGAGCGTCTCCCCGACGCCCAGCTCCCTGGCCGCTCGGGCCGAGGCCGTCAGGGCTGGGTACAGCCGCCGTGTTCGCCGGCGCTGTTTCGAGGACGAAGAAGGGAAGGGAGCGGGTGGAGGGAGAGCCACCGTCGACGAAGCTGCTGCCGCCGCCGCCCCCGCGCGTCCCGGCACCGCCGCTAATCCTACCCTTTGGGGAGCTTGCCCACCGCCGGAGACGCCGGGGGAGTAACACCGCACCCGCCACTCGCACTTCGGGTAGGTGTCGAAGTACCCCTGGGGGGGGAAAGAGTGCGGCTGCGCCGCGGCCTTGCCGCCGCTTCCACCGCCCCTCTCACTGCCCCTGTCCGCCTCCATGTCGGCGAGCATCCGGTCGAACTCCGCGTCCGACATCTTGCTGTGGTCCAGCCCCGACTTCATGCTAGCATCGCCGGGCATGGCCGTGTCCTCGTCCCCGTCCTCGCCGGCGCCGGCGCCCCCGGCGCCGGCGCCCACGCCGAAGGACTCCCTTCCCCCGCCCATGGACGCCTTGCGCTTGCCGCGGCTGCTCCTCAGCGGGGACATCGAAGCAGGCGAGACGACCAGTTCCACCGGCGGAACCGACGGCCGGCTCGAACGCCGCCGTTGCTTCTTCGGGGACCGGTAGCTGTCGGCATCGGCCGGGGGCGCGCCAGACGACCCACCCGCCGCCGCCTCTACTGCCGTGGGAGACGGCTCCCCGCCCGGCTGCGGCGGCAGCCCCGACCCGCTGCCGCGCCGCCCGTGGACACTCGATCCCGGCGGCGAGGGATCGTCGAACGTCACCCCGTTCGCCATCCACGCCCCAGCCTGGGCGCCTGTTGTATCGGTCTGATTTCGGTCCGCCGTCCCTCCCTCCTCCCTCGCCCTAGCTTCGGCGGCGGCGGCGGCAGCAGCCTTGGCCGCCACCGCTTCCTCCCGCTCCGCCGCGAGCTGCCGGTTCGCGAGCTCTCTCGCCGCCGCCGCCGCTACCCTCCTCGCCTGCGCCTCCGCGGCCGCCTCCCTCGCCGCCTTCGCCGCCTTCGCCGCCTCGACCTCGGTCTTGTACGCCCGCGACACCTTCAGCTCGTACGGCGTCTGCCACGACTCTCGGAACACCCGCGCCGGGAGCGCCTCCACGAGCTCCTGCGCCAGCCGGCCAAGCGCCTGCACGCTCCCGGCCGCCCGGACCTCCATCGGCCACTGCCCGCCTAGGCCCCACGCGCTGGTCCACTGGGTACCGAACAGCAGCCCGCCGAATGACTTTTGGAGCTGGAGGAGGAGCCTGGCGACGGGCTCCAGGTGAGCGCACGCGACGAGGCCCTCCCCCTCGGCGGGGTTAGCGACCGGGTCTCCCGGCAGGAGCGGGTGCGGCACGCCCACCGCTCCGAGGGGCCACGCGTGCCAGAAGTGAGACTCCTGGGAGAGCTCCAGCGGCGGGGCCGCCTCCTTGTGGGCCGGCATGTCCGGACACGGCACGGCCTTGGCGTACCGGTTAACGTACTCAAGCGGGTTGCTGGAGGCGATGAGGAGCGCCCGTGCCTTAGCCTTCGCCTCCGCCGCGGCCTCCGCCGCCGCCCGCTCCGCCGCCTGCCTAGCCTCGCGCTTACGCCGCGCCTCCGCCTCCTTCGCGGCTTTGGCTTCGGCGGCCGCCTTCGTCCTGGCCTCGGCCTTCGCCTTCCTCTCCGCCGCCGCTCTGGCGTACGCCTGGCGGGTGGGTTGGCCCGATGAGGATGCACCCCCCCGGCCCACGTCCGTGTCCACAGGATAACCAAAGAGAGCCGCGCGGAAGGATTCGGGGAAAGGAGTATCGATAAACGGCCTGATTGACAGAACAATGGACGTAAGCCAACGTTCCTAGGGATGTGTAAACTCATTTTCCCCGATGGGAGTCCTCCCTAGAGCTTTACCTGCGTTTGAAAACGCAGGTCCTGTATGTGTGTGCTTGGGTTTCGGCTGGATGACATTTCCAGGGAAACGACGCAGGCTCCTAGGCACTGATTGAAGGGTTGACCTCGCTCGTGCGAACTCAATTTTTCGTGCAAACGAAACTTGACAGCGCCAAGCATGGCCCTGATGGCACATTCGTCGCGAGAGCACACCGAGAGCTGCCTTCTCGAGGGGAACCGCCTCAAGGGGTCGGCTCCATATCGGGTTATCATTGCTGTACTGGGGTCTCGACGACATCATGGGGTTTCCCTCGCCCACCGAATTCCTGGCAGACACGGAACCCCCAACAGCATGCATGCCTTCCCGGTTGCCAGTTGCATGAAAGAGAAATCTACTACAGAGCGGATCCCTGTTTAGAGCTGGTTGAACAGTGCCAATGCCCGCTTTGGTGCCTGTGTTTTCGGCGGGCACGCACTGAATTTCCAAGCCATTGTCAGTACTTTGAATAGTGCTGGTCCGGTATAAGCGCCGGTGATTTTCTGAGCACACAACAACACCAAGAAAGGGACCCCCCGTGTACTCCGAGGAGAGGGAAGTAGGGACGCCCTGACCCTAACCCTAACCCTAACGATGGCACTACCAACGCCAAATCTGCAATTCTACAGTGCAATTTTTGCGTTGTCCTCGCTGCGTTACAGGCGAGAAGGCAACCACACGAAACACGCAAGCAAAGCCGCGCCGGTGGCGAGTCAAAAACAACCAACTGGACTTGCAAGAAAGACCCCCCCCCCCCGCACCTGTGCCCTCGCCGTCGCCGCCGCTTGCGCCTCCGCCGCTGCCTTCGCCACCGCCGCCGCCGCCGCCTCCCTCGCCTCCTTGGCGGCCGCTGTGGCCTTCGCCCTCGCGACCGCCGCCGCCTTCCTCTGCGCCGCGACCCTGGCCAGGTGCGCCTTCCGCTCCTCGGCCTGCAGCCTTACGGCCTCCGCTTCCTCCGCCTCCGCCGCCTCCTCGGGGGTCATCGGCGGCGGCGGTGGAGTCTCCTTGGCCTTCCCACCCTCCTTCGTCGACGCCGCGGGGTCGCCGTCCGCCGCCGCGGCTTCCTCTTCCCCCTCCTCCTCCTCCTCCTCCCCTTGCTCCTCCTCCTCCTCTTGCTTCTCCTCCTGCTCCTCTTGCTCCTCCTCCTCCTCCTCCGCCTGCTTCTCCCCAACGCCTGCTTGCTCCTCAGCCGTTCCGTCGCACACGTCCCCTGATGACGGCCTGGCTTCCTCACAATCGTCTTCCGGCGAGCCACCGCCGGCTGCTGTACCACCACCTGCTGCTGCCCCGGCGCTCGCGCTGCTACCCTCGTCCTGCTCCTCGTCGACGTCATCGTCCTTGGATGCGGCTGGCCGGGCACCCACCTCTGCCTCCTGCAATGCCTCCTCCGCGGGGCCCCTTGCGCTGCCGCCGGCGGGAGACTCCTCCGCAGCCTCTCCTCTCGCCTCGTCGTCATCATCGTCGCTTGCGGAACGGCCAGCAGCGCTCGCGCGGCCTTTGCCGGCGCGGCTCTTCATATCGGCGGAGGCGACGACGGCGGCATCCTCGACACCCTGCTCGTCCACGTCGGACGGCACAGGCTTCGGTGGGGGAGAGCCGCGGGAGCGAGAAACTCTGGCGGGGGCCTTCCGCGATGAGGCCTTCTTTGCTGCGTACTTCTCCGCCTCAGACGCCTCGCTCTCGGAGTCCTCGCTTCCAGAGGAGGAAGCGGAGGAGGAGGAGGAGGGCTTCGTAGTCGCTGAGGCCTCCGGCTCCCCGGTTGTAGCCTTCAGCCTGGAGCGCGTGACGCGGACCTGCCTCACCGGGGAAGCTCCGTCGTCGTCGCTATCGCTATCCTTGCCTTCGCTGCCGCTTCCTTCGTCGTCACCGGCTGCTGGCGCTCTCCTGGTCGTCGTCGCGGACAGCGAAGACGGTTCCGACACGCTGTCGTCGTCTTGCGAACCCCTCTCGCCGGGCCGGTCCTCGGGCGAGCCGTCTCCCTGTGCCGCCGCCGCCGCCGCCGCCGCCGCCGCCGTCGCCGCAGTCGCCGCTGCCACCGCCGCCGCAGCCGCCGCCACCTTTGGCCTCACGAACGTCCCCGACGGGAACTTGACCATGCTGAAGGGGAACTCCTTTGCGGTCTCTTCCCCCAGCACCCTGCCGAGCAGAAACACGTCCCGTGGGGACAGGAGCTCCGCCCCCCACCCTTCCGGCCCTTCGTCCGACTTGCCCCTGTCCGCAGACCCCCCCCGCCGTCGTTCCGTCTCCGAATCCTCCTCGTCTTCCTCCCCGTCCTCCTCCTCCTCGTCGCTGCTCTCCGAGCTCTCGGAGTCCCGCCCGCGCCCCCCACCGCCCCGCCCCCCTCCTCGCCCCCTCCCTCTCCCTCGCCCCCGCCCTCTGCCCCTCCCTCTTCCTCGACCCCGCCCCCTGCCTCTCCCTCTCCCCCGCCCCCGCCCCCTCCCGCTCGGCGAGGTTTTTCCTCTAGCGGCAGCGGCCGCTCCCCGGGCAGTAGCCGAGGTCTTGTTGCGGCTACCTCGGGGACGCCCGCGGGGTCGGCCGCGCCCGCGCGGGGTGGCCGGGCGGGCGGCCGCTGCTGCTGCGGCGGCTTCGTCGGCCGCGGCAGCCGCCTTCACCGCCTTCATGACTTGCTCTGGAGAGCACGGTGGCGGGAGAGAAGGCGAACACAGCAGTGAGAGGAACAGGGGACAACGACCGCTTCAGTCACGCGGCAAAACGAATACCGAACTATTCGACCAGCAGATATAGACTGGGATGCGTCAGTCAAACGTATTTGTCATGCAGGGCAACAATACACCCGAGAACAACACGCAAGCCGAACAAGGCGCAAGGTGAAAAATCACCAGCTTTGTTCAGACCGCAAAAAACAAAACGCTGCTGTTCTACATTCGTTCAACCCTCCAACGCATGCATGAAAGCATTACACGGCGGCGACATGAACACAAATCACCCATCGTCGCACACCCCCAGAGCCACGAGCAAACGAAGACGCGCGTGTCAACAGCACACTCCCGACTCTGGTAGGTCACAAGGCAACCCTACTCTCCCCTGCCTCCGGAAACATAAGGCTCCGTTGCATCGGTCCTGGCACACATCCCACGACCGCAGGGTAAGGAAGAACATGTCTACTCATGACAAGTTGCTCCCACCTTGCTCGGCGGCCTTTACGATAGCGACCGCTTCCGCCTCCTCCGCCTCCTCCGCCGCCGCCTCCCACGACTTCCCGCCGCCCCCTCCGCCGGCACCGTCCTTCTTGTGCGACGACGGCGGCGGCGGCGTCGGGCGGAACACGTACCCGCCGATCACCCACACCGGCCCCATCGACGTCGATACCCGCGGAACCCGCACGCCGTCGCGAGCCGAGTCCTCGATTAGGCACTCCCAGCAGGACCAGTTGACGCTGTCGATGCCCTGCTTGCCGCCGACGCACCTGGGGTGGTATGCCCGCGGGCAGTTGTCGCAGCACAGGAGGTTCCCGACCTGTCCGCAGATGACGCAGTCGAACACCTTGCCGTCGTCCGCGTCCACCACGAAGGCCTCCGGTGGGGTGCGCACCCGGTTGTCGATTTCCTTCTCGAACCAGGGGCACTTGTGTGTGTGTGCGTGCGTGTGTACGGCAAGCATTTTTTTCGAGCAACGCATGCCAAAGAGCAGTACGAGCAAAGGCAGCGAACGATCAGACAAAGGACACGCCAGCATTCAACACCGAGCAATGACATATACAAGTTTTCATGGTGGTTTTCGATAGAGCGTGCGAAAGAGCAGTAGTGGCAGCAGCGGTAGCAGCGAACGGTCAGACAAATGGCCCTTTATCATTCAACACCGAGAGCAAATGGCGTTACTTTCAGAAGCGACGGTGGTGCACTTTAGATGCTTTTGGCAAAGAGAAGCCGGCGCGAGGGGAGAGACGACGAATTGGCCCGAATATGCAATACAAAAATCAAAAGTCCACAGGAACCGAAAGGGCGAAGACAGAGCGGTCGGTGCCCGAGAGACAGAGCGGCTTCGTGAATCAACTCTTGGTACGCCTCAGAATGTGGTGATAACGTTTCTTCCAGTGATAGATGTACCGAGAGCTACCAACGCCTGCTTCCACCACCGGTGACGCGGTTTCCGGTAGCATTGTTCGAACGCTCAACAGCACAAAACAACCACCAAGAACAACGCTAACGCCGTGATAAACACCACAAAACACACACACGGGGACAACAAATCGTATCTGGGACAAGCAAATCACGCCAGCCAAAGCTTCCACCACGAGAAGGTGCAAAAAAGCAAAGCCCGCATCCAACTCCCTGCTCCGCGAGGCACACATACCTCCATCGCCCGATCGACGAGGTACTCGAGAGCCTGGACCTTCATTTCCAGCGGCAGCAGGTGGTGCTCTCCCGCCTGAAACGCCAAGCACAGGGTCTCCAGCGAGTCCCTCTCCTCCTCCTCCTCCTCCTCCTCCTCCTCCTCATCCTCTTCGCTGCCCGAGCCGCCGCCGTTCCGCCGCCGCCGCCGCCGCCGCCGCCGCCTTCGCTTTGCAGAAGAGCCGTCAGATTCGCCGCTCGAGCTAGCGTCTCCCTCCTCCTCCCCTTCTGACACCGACATCATCCCGTCTTGCTCGGCGTCAGCAGCTGCAGCCTCGGCCGCGGCCTTGGCGTCTTCCCGCTGCCGCTGCTCCTCCATCGTCCGGACGAACTCCACGAAATACGCGGGCCACGTGACCTGCGAACAAAACGTTCACCACAAAAAAGTCACATATCTACAAAAACGTGCGTACTTCTGGACACAATTCCTGAGGCATCGCCCCTAATCGATCGGCTGCAGGCTAGGAGAATATAAACCACGTTGCAACTGGTGCAAAACCAGCCGAAAGCTAACTCGTCTACGCCCGTCAGCTAGTCAATCAGACAAGCAACAGCAGCAGCAGCGGCGGCAGCGGAGGCGGCGGCGGCGGCGGCACACCATATCTCTCACCTGGTCCAAGTACTTCCAGTCCAGCTCCTGCTGCGCAGCGCTACTCTTCGCCCAGTTCCCCGACCGGCCCCTCAGCAGGCACAGCACTCTGCGGAGAAGCTCGCAGTGGATAGCGTCCAGGAGCGGGGTGCGCAGCCGCAGCGACAGGGCCCGCAGGAAGGACACGCTGGAGGCCGGGGTGAGCCGGAACGGCCTGCTGAAAGTGCGGATCAGCGCGTATGCGCCGAGTGCCCGGTGCACCAGGCGCGGCACGAAACCGAACGGGAGGGGAGGCCCCGCCGCCTCGCCCGGGTTGGACGCCTCCTCCTCTCCGACACGCCGCTGCCACGCCGCCCACTCCTCGCCCTCGATCCTGCGCATCCTCGCGAGCCTGGCGCCGAGCCAGCTGCTGCCCCCGGCACAGCCCCCCCTGGAGGGATCCTCCGCCGGAGCGTCCGCCTTGAGGAGGGTGGAGAGGCGAAGCCCGGCGCCGCCGGGGTGCTGAGCCAGCGCCGCATGCCGCCTCGCGCACCCCAGCCGCCGCTGCAAGCGGCGCTGGCCGAGGGGAGGGTAGCCCGCAGCTCCCGCGTCCTTCTCCGCCGGGCCGCCTCCGGCCCCTTCCCCGGAGCCTCCGGCGTCCCGACGCGCCTTGGCCCCATTTCCCTCGTGGCCCCGCAAGCAGGGCACCGCGATGACGGGCTCCTGTTCTTGAAAAGGGTCTTCCTCCGCCGCCCATGCGGGGTCATCCAACGCGGCGACCGCTCCGGCTCCGGCTCCGGCTTCGGCGCCTCCCCCCTGTGGTTGGGCGAGGCGTCCCGACCTCTTTCTCTCCTCGGCGTCCTCCCTCAGGCGCTTGANCACACCCGAGACAGGCATCGTGCCGACGCGAGCAAAACAAACAAGCTAATCCTGCGTCGCTGTTTCCGTCGTTAGCTGCCAACCAATGTTACGAGCGATCGTGTGTGTGTCACCTATGTCGCTGCGCAGACTCCGCCGTCACCGCCGCCATGGAAGAAGACTCTCCGTTCCCCCGGCGGCCGCCACCGCCGCCGCCGCCGCCGCCCTGGCCTTCCTCTTCGCGTCGGCCTCGGCCTTGCTGGCGGCCTCGGCCTTGCTGGAGGCCTCCTTCTCCGCGAGCTCGTTCTCTCCTTGCGCCTTTCCACTGGTCGCCTCGTCCGATTCCTTCCTCTCTCCTCCTTTCTCCTCCTCCACCCCGTGGTCCCGGCCGTCGTATTTGCTCTGCGACCGTTCCTCCGAGGCCTCTCCCTCCTTTTCCGAGGCCCCACCGTCACCGCCTGATCTACCCGCCTCTGCCGTATCCGACCACGACGACTGCTTCCTAGAATCTCCCGACCCTATCGTACCGTCTCGCCGTGCCTCCTCGTCCACATCCATGGCATCAGCGCCAGCGCCAGCAGCAGTGCCCGGGCCGGACGAACTATCACCAGACGCAGCCCGCGCTGCTTCTTGCGCCTGCACATCGCCACCGTCCAACTCCGGGGGCGCCGCGACCGGCGGCGCCGGCATCTCCGGCTTGGGCGGCGGCGAGGGAGGAGGGGTTGGGGGCAGAAAAACTGGTCGAGTCCACCGCTCCGGGGCAGGGAACGCCGGCATGCTCGGTATGCGAGTGACCTCAGCGGTGGGTACCGAGACCCCTATCCGTGCAGCGGTCGCCGCTGGAGGAGAGAACCCGGCGGAATGGGGCTGGTGACGAGGCCGGCCGTGTACCAAGGAGATATGCCCATCGCATCGATCACGGCAAGGAACGCACGTGGGAACGACACGCCGGGGGAGAAGGAGAAGAGGACGCGGTTACGGGAAAGCGAGAACAGGTGCTTATGAGCGAGGCCTTTCACGCGCAACATAGGCTGTTCCGTCTGTAGCTAGGCCCTGTAGGCGAACCAACCCGCAACAAAGGCCAGCAAAAACGCGCGTTCGGCTACTAAGGGCTATGCTGTGTGTTCCCGACACAAGACGCGGGTTGCGGCAGGCCACGGCAGGGACCTGCAAAACATCCTCTCCAACCAAACACACAACAATACGCTTCGCTAATCTCGGCGGCGGCTGACCCTACCTGGACCTGATGATGGGACCCCCTGGCCGCTGGTTGCTGTCCAAACCCGCGTGGCGATATACCGCCGCCGCCGCCGCCGCCGCCGCCGCCGCCGCCGCTTGAGCCATCGTTCGACAACCACGAGTTCTGCTGCACACGGGCGCCATTCGAAGACCCCCCCGTTGGGCCGCTCCTCCAACCAGCCGGGGCTTGCCTAGGCGACGACCCTGCCGAAACCCCGGGGTTCATGGACAGGGGAGAGGGGAGCGTCCTCGACGTGTTCGTAGCGAACGAGTTACCCGCCGCCGCCACGGCGCGATGCGTTGGTCCGCCGTTGGCAAGGGGGGAGGAGGAGGAGGCCGGGGCGGAGGCGGGGGGGAAGGGAGTGGCAGCGGCCAACGACGATGTTGCCGCTCCGGCGCCGGCGCCGGAGGCATGCAACCCGGCCCTGCCTCTGGGGGAAGTGCTGCCGCTCCCGCCAAAGCGCTGAGCGCTCTTGTAGCTGATATTAGCCTGCTCGAACGGAGAGCGCGCGGGGGGAGGGAGGAGACAGGATGCTGGGACTAGTCGAACACACGGTAGCATGCGTGGGAGTTTGTGACGAGAAGGGAAGAGTCATGCTGGCCAGAATATTACACTTGACTTCACGGACACGAAGTTGGTGCAAGGTACACATGGGACCACATACAGCACACGACGGTCGCCCTCGGGGCCTAACGACCCCCCATCTACCCTGCAAACCAAGAGGCACGATTCCCCCTTCAAGACGAAACACAAAAATCGCCTCACCACCGGCGCGTCGTTGAATTGGTTCACGCCGATCGCTCCACCGCCAAATCGCGGCGACAACCCGGCGCCGGAGGAAGAGGCCGTAGGACCTTGCGCCACGGCCTGCAGAGACAACCCCCTGCCGTTGCGCACCCCCCCTCCACGCCCGCCAGGGTCCTGCGGCGCCAACGGGGACGCCCCGAAAGAAGACAGTGGGGCTGAACCCATGGCGTGCACGCCGGAAGCCTCGCCGGACACGCCAGAGAGCCGACGTTCCCTGTCGTGCGCGCTACCATCACCACCACCCGCGGCCGTCACCGTGCTGGTAGCTGGTGGAAGAGTCAGATCGGTACCGCGCCAGGTCTCTTCACCCGCTTGAACGGGGCGTCTACCGCTCATGGCGCCCTTCGGGACCGCGGCTTGTGAAGGCCCGCCAAAACCTCGGGCGCCTACGTCCAACATCCGTCTACCGCTGACGACGGCGGCCGCGGAGGCGGCGGGCGCGACAAAAGAGGAGGAAAACTCCCCTACTTCTGCGGCCGCCGCTGCTTGTTGTCGCCTCCTTAACTCCTGCTGCTGCTGCTGCTGCAGCTGCTGTTGCTGCAAGCTCGGGTGTCGAAGCTCCGGCCGACCTATCGGCAGCATGCCACGCAGAGCTGCGGTGTTCCCGGCCGTGGAACCACCACCACCACCACCACCGCCGCCGACGCCTGATACAGGTTGGGCAGACATCCGTGAACCAAAAATGTCGGCAACCGTCGTCGAACTCGTCGAAAACGGTGGGCTGGGTGCGGGCGCCGGCGTCGTTGGTTGCGGCGGCGGCGGCGCCAGCGCCGATGTCGACGAGGGCGTACGTAGGCCTAACAGCGCCGCGTACGTGTCGTTCTCCGGCGGAAGAAAAGACTGCGCCGTGGTCATCGTCGCGTCATCAGCGGGGCGACTGCTGCTGCTACTGTCAAACGGCGCCGCTGGCGTGCGCGGACCGTGGTTGAGAACGCTGTCCAAAGCCGTCGCCCGTGGGACAAACCCGCCTACGGCTGCCGCGCCGCCGCCACCGCCGGGAAACGACGCACCGGCAGCACGCGCTGCCCAACCCGGCTGCTCCCCACCGCCGCCCACCTTCAAGTCGCCTCGTTGCCGATCCAAAGCAGCTGTACCAGCAGGTTCCGCCGCTGTACTCGAGCGCCTCGGGCCGGCGAGCGCCTCGTCTCCGTTGGCCCTTCGCCCGAGCGCCGACATCCCCCCAGCGTTCACTGCCGCCTCCCCTCTGGAGGCCCCCGGTGCCCCTTCGCCGACCAAAGCGGTCCTTTCGCCAGCCGGGAAGGTCTCGTCCACCGCCATCATCTCCGGGGGATCGTCCGCCAGGAGCTGGTCCGCCAGAGATTGGCTGGAGAAGTCGCACGGGTTCGCCGCCCCTGCCGGCAGCATACCGACGGGGTTTCCCTCAAACGGCGTCGCTATCGTCGGCGAGGACGACGGCGTCTGCGCCGGCGCCGCCTCCGAAGATGCCCGGCCTTCTAGGGCAGGCAACACCACGCCGGGGGCTAAGCCCGACAGCGGTTGCGCATCGCGTCCCCGCCGGCCTGCCACGCCACGAGGCACGTCTCCGACTGGTCCTTCTCCAGCGCCTTCCTTCCCCTCACTGATCCTGCCGGGTGGATCGCGGCCTTGACCGGGTCGCGAACCACCGGGCACGTCTCCTGCGACTCCTCCCGTTGCGCCGTCCGTCGCCTCGTCTCCGGCTCCCCCGTCGCCACCACCCGCAGAACCTTCGCCGGCTCTGCTGCCAAACGCCCCGGTGTAGACTTCCCCGTCCAGGGTTTGGAAGCACCGGTCCTGCTGACCGCTCATCCCAGCAGAAGGTGGCTGCTGCTGCTGCTGCTGTTGCGGCCCGTCGACATCCATCGCCTGGACGCCGCGCTCCCCGCGAGACGGAGCTTGTTCAACCCCCAACCGAGCATCAACGCCGTCTTCCACGGGATCAAGCGTCGCCCTCGGAGTGGTCACCTCGCCTGGTGAATGGCTCCGCGCTTGTGCTGAGGATGGGGCGAGTTGCGGCGGCGGCAGCAGCGGTTCGTTTCCCGCCGCTGCCACCCCGCGCGCGACCATGTTATTGCGCGATTCTACGGCCTCCTCCTCCTGCCCCATCCCCGCTCTCCTTAAGGGTGATTCGGCAAGGCTCGGCGGCCCTACTGAGATCACCGCATCTATGGATTCCGAACGTGTCCGATCACTGCCAGCCGCTCCCGCTCCTGCTCGTGGCGTAGCATCCACCGGCCTTCGCTTCGCCGCATCCCCTTCAAGCCAACCCTGCGGCGCTGCGACCGACGCCCTCCCCATCGGCCTGTCCCCGATAGCCGCTCCACCTTGTTCCGCAGCAACCGGAGCCAACGGTGAAGCAAAATCGTTCAAAACCTTACCAGTCGGCCCGCCAGGGCCCGGCGGGTGCAAGGGGGAGGAAGAACGTGCGGCGATCGGTTCAGCACCCGACCGCACGCCCTGTGGTGATGTACGTGACTCCTTAGACTCTCTCGACTCTTGTGGTGGTTGATCACATTCTGAGCACGCGGGCGGCGCCGCCGTGGGCAGCTGTGGCAGCAATGCCCGGTCTCGTGGGGACACCGCTCCCCCGCCTCTCTCCTCTCCCGTCCAAGCATCGGGCTCGTCGCGGGAGGCCGACAACGCGCCATCCGCTGTTGGCGGCTGTCGTGGAAACAACATTTCCTCCTCCGCTTCCATCGCGGTCTCGGAAGGGCGGCCCGCTGGCGGGGAAACAGGGGCTGCGGGTGGCGGTGGTGACGGTGTGCCGTATCCCCGCCGAACCGCCAACAGAGAATCAACCTCCATCGACGACGGGCTAGGCGACGTTTGTCGGGCAATGGACGCCATGGATACCCCGGCGTCTGCATTCCCGACGATCAACAACGGAGGAACGCGAAGAGGAAAAAAACAACAATAAGAATTACCATTCATGGCAAACATCGGGAATTTGTTTGCAACAACGACTGCCGTTATGTTCAATACCTCTATGGAGTAGTTCTATTATGCGATCACGGCATGAACCCTCTACCTCGCATTAGACCCTAAAAAAAGGCTGAAAATGGCAATGCGAATGCAAATGTCACAACCGAGGACCTCCTCCCATAATTGCAAACCAAAACGACAGCGCACCCCGATATCGAAAACCCAAGGGTTTAAACATCGCACACCTGGGCCATCGTCGTTCACCGCCTCCATAGATACAAGTCCTCCCGCTGCTCTCGATGCCACGACGGCGCGGTCATCATCTCCCGATGCTAATGCTGTTGGCGTTGGTCCATGTCCGCTGTCAATGATGTCGCCGAAGTCATCGGCTGGCCCCTGGGTTGTGGGCGAGCTAGCCGTCGTCCGTGCCGTTGCCGCTACCGAAGCCTCCGCCGCCGGTGGCGAATCCCTGGCGGCGTCGCCGTGTCCACCGTCCAGATACCGATGCCTGCCCCCCATTCCCCGAGGTGGCGACAAGGTTTTCGGCCCCATAGACGCTCCTCCACCAAGCTTAATAGCGCCGCCCGACTTGGAAGAGGAAGCGGGGGTAGCAGGCAGCGGAGGAGCGGTGGGCGGCGGAGCACCGGGGCTGGTCGGCAGTCCGGCAATGCCGGCAGGACTGCCGTCCGTCGCGGCTTTTGTGCCGTCGCCAGTCAATCTCTCCCCGTCCGCGCTAGGTAGCTGTGGATGTCGAGAACCTGCCGCCGCGGGGGGCGGCTTCCCATCCATGGACATCGCTGCTGATGCTGCTAGATCGGCGTTGTGATGCTGGGTGCCGTTACCACTACCGTCGACTTCTCCTGGCACAAACACAGGCAGCATTGAGAGGAATGGTGTCACGGAAGGGACGCACAGAAGCACTTATTATAGCACATCCCGCGTGTATATACGGTTCGTGGACGTGGACATATGGGTGAAAGCAGGTGCGGATGGGATGGTATATGTACAGCTCCATCGGTAGTACTGCTGTACATCTATGTGACTCAAATTCAAACCCAATGACGCCTACACACTTATGTACATAATGCACGGCGCGTGTTTTTTGATCCCCTGTGAAACACAGACGAACCAGGCGAAAAAACTCTACCGGAGATGTTGGTGGTTCATCCACAAGTATTTCCTGGGCATGGCGTCGTGCGGCACAGGCAGAAAACGGCGCAAGCATACGCAACGCCCGTCCTGCTGTGTGTCCACAACGCGTGTCATGCCATCATGTGAGAACAACTTCGTCTATGCGTCGGCGAAGAAGAAAGACCACTTCTTGGGACCCACAGGTAGCCGACACAACATCGTGGACGACGTGGGACCGAGATGGTATATTTTTGAAAAACTCTTTTGCCGAGCCTTCTTTTATCAGCACTCCGCGGCTCTGCAGAAAGAACGCGCACAGGCGCACCGAAGTAAAAGCATGCAACTACAAATGGCCGGAGAGCCAAGCCTCGAAACATCTTACATAGCGATTTCTGGGAAACAGAACCAGCAGCAGCATGTCCGCCCTACTCACCCGGTTCATCATCCTTAGTTTCTTGCTGGGCAACAACGGCAAGACCAAGGTGCTGTTTTAACCCGCCAACAGAAGGATTGGAAGACAACCCAACGAAGCCAGCCGGAGACACAGAGCCCGGATCACTCCTATCTGGTCGTGGCGAGGCGCCGGCTGCTGTCCCTGCCGCTAGGCCATTGCTGCCGCTGTCTACCGGAATCGCCCCGTCCCTGGGGTCACCGTCCATGCCGTGCGGTCCCTGCTTGCGCCCCCCTCCGTTCGGCGTGGCTGTTCGCTTTTCGCTGTTTTCGCTTCGATGCTGTTCCCTCTTGCTTGCCACCGTGTCGACCGCCAGCCTCTTGCTATATGATCCGCCCACTGTCACCCCCACGTGGGAATCGGGCGGGGGTTGATGAATCCCTTTCCCAGCGCTTTTTGGTTGCCAAGCGCAAAAAGCACAGCACCGGGCAAGAAAAACAAACACGCGTTGGCGTTCCCAGCATTTATGCCACCCCCCCGTGCCGTTTAGATTCTGCAGGCCCCCTATTTGTAGGATGCCACGTCGTGTCCGTGCCCTTGTGGAAGAACTTCGGTCCATGCCGTCCCGACGGGGAATGGTAGACTTCAAGATGCTTGTCCCTCTGGGATTGACAGCGCTCGTCCTCTCGACGGCGAGCGAAGCATTCTTCACCTCGGCAGGACGCCTGCGCGCGTCGTCTCAACGCCACCTGCTATTGCCGTCTTGCGCAGGGTGAGAGGGCGGACACGTCGATTGCCTCTCGGCGGCCGACCAGCATTCGAAAGCACGCATGATCTCCAAAAAATGGTTCCAGTGGATAGTACAGGCCATCTACCTAGCTAGCTGCGTGGTGTGATTGAATTGTAGGGCTGCATGCCTGTAGCATGCGGATGGGTTTGAGTTACAGAGCGTTGCTTGATTCCACCGAGTGGGGTTTGTTGACGAATGTTCATATTTCTCGCGTCATGCGTATCCCGTTGTGTTGTGTTTTTCAAAAATGTCCACGTCGATCGATCAATCTGTTCTTGTTTCTTTTCCTTCCACTTTGCCATATGCCCCCCTCCGCATGCTCTCCGCACACCGCGCTTGTCTTTTCAACAGGCGGCATAGGGGAGCGGCCCTTGACACGGTAGCCAAGATGGCAAACGTAACAGGTGTGACCTCGCTCTATCCCTCCCCAGATGTGTATTATATATGTATCGGGGGTACTGCACCTGTACTGCTGTAGCTTGATGTTTGGCTGGGGTTGTCTATTAACGTCCACATCTCCGTATCCACATACAGCTGTTCAGTCGTCCTGCCTGCTGCAGATGCCTCTCCAGTCTACTGAGTGATTATGTCTCGAATAGACGATGTGCTCTGTATTGCACCTTTTGGCATACTGCTGCTGGTATTTGGGGGTTACAGTCTATCACAAGCTGAAGTGAAGGTTGGGCACCACAGCAGCACCGGTTCTCGCTCTCGATCCATGCCCTACATTGTTCTCTCGGTTGCCTATTCGCTCTCTTCGCTGTTTGCGTCTGGCCGAAGAGCCTACGGTGGATGAATTTCCAGCAGCGTGAACGGCTTGCTTGCGTAAGCCGTTATTATACTAATAGTTTTTTTTTGTTGTAGGTATACACACAATCAACAAAAGTAAGACTTTCCGTCGGTGACAATACCGCACTCCGTCGTTTGTTGAAAATGCAGTACGATGTAGTCATCGGGTGCCTATCATGCGGTTACTGCTGTACATCAATACGTAAAAGGATTTGCCAAGCGCTTTTCCCCGGACACCCGCACCAGTTCTCGACACCATCTTGATTCTCCCATCTTTGGCATTCATTTTCACCCGCATTATGTGTGTATCCCGGTCCATGGATTGCACCCGACGGCTTCATCCGTATCCGTATCTTCACCGGGGGGGGCATTGCAACGATTTCAACGATAGCCGCCCACCGTCTGTTTGAGTGCTCACGACGAAGGAGTTAAGTAGACACATGTTGTCGGTGGTCCGCCCGATGTTGATTTTTATTAACGCCGCGTGTTCACGAAAATGGCGGCGAAGCAGCTGACGAAGGTTGATAGGGTGGACGCAACCACCGAGGTGACATCAATTTGTTCAACAGCATGCTTTTTTTGACGAAAGTGACACAGCGACAGGAACTGCAGAGAAGAGACAGGTGCCAGCCAAGATACCATGGGGTCGCATCGCTCCGTCTGTTTGTGTATGCGTAATGGCCTCACTTCACGTGCGAAGGAATGCACCGCAGAATATTCGTTTGTGATCCGGGATCAGAGGCTCCCTTTTCAGAGCGGCAACACCGTGGGACGGGCAGAAACTGCAAGCGACGGTCATGTACAGCCCTACATCCCTGGTGGAGGGGGAGAAGTTGTTGAGGGAGGGGCGGAGGGGGGGCGCCGGGCACGTAATTGAGGACCATGTGGCATCGTTTTCAGTCGATGTCGCCGTGACACAGTCAACATTTTTTTTTCTGGGGGGGGGGCGCGAATATGTTCATGAATGTGCCCGGGTAATGCCATGGCACCTCGAAATTTGAGCGATTCCAAGACCAAAGACGAAGGTATTGTGTAGACAGCAGTGACCGCCGCAGTCGAAGACTACCGATAGAAGATATGGCAAGAATCGAGGGCGTAGTGGAGGAGTGATGAGACGAGGATGTGCCCATGTCGATCTGTGAAATTGCCAGAGAGAGAGATGAGAGAGAGAGATAGAGAGAGAAAGAGCGGCATGGCGACTCTTCGAGATAAACCGGATATTGAGAAAATAGACGTTTAGGATTTAGAACAACAGTGACGCTGCCAGGCCTGCGAGAAGGACTGAGAGTGGTTGAGAGGCGAGAGGAAACAATTCGCTGGGTGGAGGTCAGGAAAAACACTTGATTCAATCGACTAAATAGTACTGGCTTTGGGGAAGGCATGTGCAGTAGTCTACGCATGAACGAGACTAAGAAGGGAAAACAATCACGTTTCAGGTGTCACGTTCGGAACCAAAGACTCCGCAGCAAAGTAGACACTGTTTTGTTCTGTCTTCCCCAAACCGAAACGAATCATAAAACGTTTGAGCAAAACCATCGATCGATGTTTTCCCTTTGTTTGGGGTACGTGATACTAGATCCGATCTGGGCAAATTCGTGGACTGGGGGTTAATATGCTGTTGGGGGTCCAAGTGCAGGGTCCCTGGAAATAGACCACGCACATGGGTTTACTTGCGTCTTCATGTGCTTGAAACGAGCACGGGTATTTGTTAGGCAAGGTTTATGTCATCAACATCGATTCGGTGTTGACGTACCTCATACTCAACACAACGGGGGCTGACTAACATACCCGTGCTCTCTCCAGCACACACGAAACGCGACTCGTGACGAAGTAAACACATGTGCGTGCTCTATTTCGAGAGGCCCCGCACTTTGGACCCCCTGCAGCCTCCCCCATTCACACATATTTTCCCAGATTGGAACTCGAATTCAGGTACATTGGTGGTTCCGATAGAAGTAGGCGGTATCTTTTGACGAGGACTTCGACGTGAGAGGATCGAAAGCCGGTTTCATGGATTGGACCCACTACGGTACAGTGGGTAGCCTCTTATTCCGGTATAGGAGGGGGCACCGATGTAAGAGGGTGCTCCGGTATGAGAGATGGTTGAAGGCCGTTGACACACCACCCTATTATTTCGGAGCCACGACTGTACCCCAAGCAAACCTTAAGACTGCAACATGCAAGCTTCGCCGCGTTTACCAGCGTGATTTCAACACCGTGCATGATTGCTCGTTGCTCGATGGCGCAACAATGTCTTCAAGTATCAACTGCTGACTCAGTCGTGCTGATGTCACTGCATATTTCCCCGGCCACCAGTCGGCGATTGTGTCGACCCGATGCTGCCGTGTGCGTCGCGTGTAGCCTTGCCGAACGCGTTGCAGACTCGCGGGGGAACCATCAGCAGCAGCAGCAGCAACAGTAGCGTCGTCGCTGAGGACAAGGGCAGATCGGCGAGGCGGCGGTTATCCGTAGTATGGGGGCGGTACCTAGGCGCCCTCAACGACCAACCGTTGCTGACCAAGGCTCTCTCTTCGGGAGTTGTGTCGGGGACGGCTAACATCATCGAGCAGACGCTCAGCGCCGCGAAATTTGTGAGTCGGGCGGGAGGTGTACTCACGTAAATGCGTTGCCGTATTTTGTTGTTAGACCACAGACCTCACATGCTTACAATACGGGGACGGACCTATAAGCCGGGTTTTCGCCGTCCCGGGCTACGTCTCGCTAGGATGGGCTATAATACTCATGTTTTTCTTTCCTTCATCGTTAGACCATGACCACGCCTTTCGTGCCTCGGCTGTGGCCTATTTTGGCCAAAAGTCAATCAAGAATCAAGTTTTCGCCATGCGGACAGGCCCAACACGAGCACAAGAGCGAACGCTACGTTCTGCGTGCGCGGGCACGACGTGCAGCCAAGACCTTGTTTTTGTTCCTTGCTCCAGCCAGCAGAACGAAAATCCGATCCAGGTTCCGCGAGAATCGAATGGTGGCTCTTAGCCACCGCTCGCTCGCATGCCTTTGCCGTGCCCGCGCAGAACTGACAGTCCCGCCTTGCGTAAAAGCATATGCTGTGCGTGCTCCCCTCTCTTTTGGGTGCCAGAATTGGGAAGGTTGGGTGGTGTTCTCCCTGACCGGGATCGTCTTCAAGGGGATGTTCCTGCACTACTGGTACAACATCCTTGATAGGTAAGTGACATTGTCAATAACAAGCATGTTTTTGCTTATTTTTTATTGCTCGGAGACGTGTGCTTCAGGGCGCCTCCTTGTTGCACTCGCTCACCCTCGCTCCCGCTGCTACTGCGTGGTGTCAAGAGTGATGGCCGAGTTGAAGGTTAGACAGCAGCCAAGAAAGTAATCGCACGATCAATTTCGTTTCTTATGGTTGCTTTGGCGTTCCTTGCTCTGGTACCCGGCCTTGTGTCTCTGATAGTATTTCATTCTTCAACTGAGGTAGTAGTTGCCCTAGGTTGTTGTCTCGCCTTGTTCACCCACCGGCCAGCTAGGTGTACTCAAGGCTATTTAGTGCCCCCCCTGCCAACATTATTTTCAAGCGGCCGTGCATGCCCCGACGTTTTCGAGCCCACCCGTCACGCGCCCCTTCTCAGGTTAGGAAACGCGAAGGCGGTGACGTCGAGAGTGCCGGGGAAATGGGGGCGCGTGTCATTCCAGGTGTTGGTGGACACGATCATCGGGGCGACGCTCCTGAACTGTGGCTACTTCGCGGTGCACGAGATATTCTCGTCGATAACGACGGGGAGACTCTTCCCGCTGCCGGGGCTGGGGTTGCGCATCGTGGAAAAGGTCCGTTTCGTCGTCGTTGGGCGTATTCGAAGGCGAAATCGCCAATATGCGTTCGCGGTTGTTTTTTCGACAAAGTCAAAAAAGGTTGGATAAAGAATGCAATCGAGGAAATTGGTAAGGGTGGGGAATAGGGCCTGCTGCGTACCCCCTCCCTGTGTTCTATTTCTTCGTGAACTTTATTTCTCGCGAAGTCGGTCCTTTCTTCCTTTGTTCTGTAGTAGTTGTATGTTTTTTGTGCTGCTGTGCATGTTTCTTGCGCAGGAACGGCAATGCCGTCAGCGTGGAGCTCAACGCTCGCTGTTCCAATTCACATATAGATCCGGTGAGGTAGCAGCCGTGTGTATGCCTCAGCAGCTTTGAGTCACTTCCTCCGTTTTTTTTTTTGTCAGCGGTGCGAACGTCGTTGATCCAACCCCGGTCATCCTTGTTGCCAAGGTACATTGCCACACACGTCCTCGTCGTGTTTACCGGCCGTTTTTTCTGCTGAACCTTTGCGATGTATTCGTGACGCTTCGGGAACGACATCATTCTGTGCTATTTTTCATGATGCAGCCCTTTTTTTTGGCACGAAATAGGAGCTTGTACGTTATGAAAGCGCGCGGCCGCACGTCTTGAGTGCTGCAACTACCGCAGTCGTGGACTCTGTCGTCGCTTGTATGCGAATCGGGTAGCAGGTAACCCACCCGCAGTACACTACCTGTATCGGCGTGGCGTTGCCCTGAGGGTGAAGATACGCAACGCGATCGGCAGCTACATGAACGGTTCTTTTCGCTATCAAGTACCGCAAGGATGCGAAGGTTCACACAGAGGTGTGAGCGTTTATTACAGATTGATTGCTCCACAACCAGGAGGGTCCGAACACCAACGAATAAGCCTCAGGAAATATCTCGATGAGACCCGTCCAAAGCGTCTCTTATCGTCCGTCTGTGGCCTGCCAGGTTGTAGCGCGTTCAAGCCGAAAAAATCTGTAACACCCCTGCGCAAACCTCCGCATCCGAAGTGTCTCGGGAGCGACGCGTGCCAGGGGGGCACCTGCGATGCTGACACAAACCCTGCCCCCGTCCCCCCCGTTTTCCGCGTTCGGTCGCCCCCGTGAAGATTGCAAGCAGGTATTCCGTGATGATGGTCGCCAACTGCAGAGTCTGGCCGCCGGTGGTGTTCTTGAACTTCGCTTTCGTGCCCCCTGACCTTAGGGTCCTGGTCTCCAATTTTGTCGCGGTGTTTTGGGGGTATTTGTTGTCGAAGTGGTGTAGATAGAGGGTGAGCTTGCGGTTCTGGAGTGATGGAAGGCCTCCAGGCTTGCTACAACGTAAAGGCGATCGGTCAATTTACCATGACCGAAGTCCCTCGAATGCCTTGGGGTCCTCTTTCTGCTCCGTTTTTTTCGGGCTCTTGTCCTCCTCGTGCGGACCCTGCCGTGCAGGTCGCCGGCCCGCCGGCGAGTCGTGGTGGCGCGCGGTTTCCGATTGGTCAAATAATCCTTGCGGCGCAGTTTTTTCGACCAATCAGAGACTGCGTGCCACCGCAGGAGGAGCGCATAGTAGCCAAAGGACGACTGGGGCCATCCTGACGCGGCTGCGAGTTGATGGAAAGGAAGATGTGGGGGCGTTGGCAATGCTCACCCGCGTAACAAAGAAAAAGAGAGTTCTGTATCACTTGGCAAGTTGGGGGGTGCTGTGCCTTGTTGTGTTTGTTCGTTTTCCTTCCCGTGGTGACACGACACGTGTCGCGTTGAGAGAAAGGTGGCACGCACTTGTCTGGTTGGTCAACAATCACTGCAACGCCATGCTTTTACCAATCGGAAAACCGCGTGCCACCGTAGGAAGAGCGCATAGGAGCCAATGATCGAATGGGGCAGTCTGACGTGGTTGCGAGTTGATGTAAAGGAAATTGTGGGGGCGTTGGCAGACACTCCGTAATAAAGAACAAAATGTATCACTTGCAAGTTGGGGGGTGGTGTGCCTTGTTGTGTGTCTTCGTTTTCATTTCCGTGACCCCAACATTTGTCCCGCTGTACCCTTCGTGTTGATATATATTTTGACGGAGCGCCGTGCGCATTTTTGAGTTTGTTCTGAAAATGCTCGCCAGTTGTTTTACCAGTTTTGTGTAAACGCAGTTTGTGGTGGATCCCTAGGCGTGGATGATGTGTTGCGGTCGTCGTCGTGAGGCTGAGTGCGAGATCCAGTGCCATTTGATCGGTAAACCTAGTCGGTGTCTGCGAAGGCGTGTGTGTGTGTGTGTGGTGGAGTGTTGGCCTCGATGTGCGACTTCAAGAGAGTGGTTTTCTGCTTATTGTTTATCGAAACGCTTTGGCGGAAAGGCCACGGGTCTGCCAGGTGTCTGCAACACCCCGTGTTGGGTTTGGTTGTCCTGATGACGATCGTGCAGAGGCGGGCGTTGAGGCGGAGCGGGCCCAAAAGGAGTGTGAGATGGGTAGGCTGTCGAGAGGAGGGGAGAGGGCTACAAAATCAAACTATCATGTACGAGGACGTCCGCAGTCGACGAACAGCAGTTTCGGGTGGCTGGGTCGAAACGCTTCTTTGTTTTTTGGGGAGTCACACATGTATTCTCCCCGTTTGGTGTGAGAGAGCTGGGGAAAAAGCGAGAACGATAGAGGGGGAGGGGAGGGGGGCGAGAGGACCGAGATACATCTCTCGCTTGTAAATATATCATGCCTGCTTTGGAACAAGCGTGTTTTCGTCCCGTGCGGGCAGGGTTTGTATGGGGATCAACCCCCCAACCGGGAATTTGGTGGAGGAACAACACAATTGCTATGCAAGGCTGTGGGGAGTTCTCTGCGCCGCGAGGACGTTTTCCGCCTCCGTTGTTCGCTATCTTGGCCGTTGGTTAGCGGCCGTCGGTGATGAATGTGTGAAGGCACCTGGCGTTTTCCCCTTATGGTCGTGTGAAGAACCGGGGGGAGATACACTGCCTGCTGGTGTCATTTTGTGTGCATGTTGCATGGCAAGGTGGGGGTGTTGAAATAGTGGAGAGAGCTGTAGTTGTAGCGCCCAATGCACAGCCACATAATGTTCCACATCATGGGTTTTTTGTCCGCGCGCATCTGAAGGCTTGCATCTCACCCAATCTTCCTCTTCCTGAGAGGCGTGCGTCCGACGTGTGTACTCGAAATCGTTTGAGGAGCACTTTCTTGGTTCAGCGCGAGTCTTGAAGTTTGTCTCGGTGGACACAAACGACCAGTCTCCTTCGCAAGTTCTCGCATCGGGAAGCGTTGGAGTCTATTGGCAAGGCAAGGCAGTGCTGTTCATGGTTATATGCACTGCTCGTTTCCCCCCTCGAATTCCCTTGACGACGAGTACTTATTATAGGCCATCCGACCGAGTCGATGACACCTCAAGTGCACAACATGTATGCTGTCGGGATTCTCCAGCCAGACTAGTCTACCGTGAAGGTCTCGCCGATTTGAAACTCGTGGTAAATGTTAAGCGTGACGTCGGCCACCAACATTTCGTTCGGCCTGTTTCCGAGAAACACGAAGGAGACAAGAACAAAGGTATCTTGCTGCCTCCCCCTCAAACTTCACGCTGCCAAACAACGTGGAGCCCTCACGCACTGGGAAACACGGTCGGATGCACTTCCTCCATACAGCGTGCGGTGGTTGCTCGGCTTTACCTTCCCACCTCTTCTTCGGGGCACCTGTAGTGTGTGCGGGTCGATGCCACCCGAGCACGCAAAAGGTACGTTGCCTGAAGCACAGCACTCTCGTCCATGTGTACACACGGCGGTGGCTTGGACACGGAGGAAGTCGCCCACGCCTCGGTAGGCCGGGAACAAGGACCCACAGATACTGCCCCAACGGTCGCTGTGAGTGACCTTAATCTTCCCTCGACTCCTGTTGCACCTTCTGCCTGTGAAGCGAATCCCACCACCTTCCTGGGCTCGTACACCGGAGACGGCAAGGTTGCAAGGGTGCAAGGGCAACCGCAGGGTGACGAGGGCGATCAATGGGTGGAACCAAGTTGCTGCGTGAAGCTGCTTAGGTTGATGCCCTCGATCCAACCCACCAGAGCAGTGTTTATCGGCATCGGAGAGCTTAAAGAACGACCTTCCCGGTCAATCAAAAAGGACAGGGTCGTGTTTGTCGATCGCACATGCACAAATGACAGAACGCGAATCGAAAGTATGTGGGCTATTTGGGCGTCTCGTGCGTTTCGATGACATGACTTTGTAGTTACGAACGCATGCCCCGGCCATGTCCTCGGTGAGCGTACATTCAATAATCAATAGGAAGCATCTCAAACCAAACAGTGTTGGTTGCCTTTTGTCCAAACCTCGCCGCAATTCACTCTGCCTTCTCACCGCTTCCGTGGGGGTATCGCGAGTTTCAGGTCGAACCGACTTGAGCATATCAAATTCCGCGGGCTCACGTTCTCGTCACCCGCTTCCGCCGTTGACGTCCGGAAGAAGCATGTCATGTAGGGCAGGCGGCCCATCGCGTTGTCCTGTTCACTCACAAGCTCCTCGTACAGACTCCCGAATCCTCCAATGTACCCTCGGTCCCGTGCTGAGGTGCGGCCGCTTGTGAAACTGAAACTGGGGACATTGTAACCACATGGGCAACATGGGCAACATTGTCGGTGATGAACAGCACCGTCCATATGATATAGTACAACGTTGCCGGCCACAGATGCACTATATGATTTATCTCAGCTCGGAACACAGGGCAAATTCGAGGATTCAGGAGTCTGTGCGAAGAGACTGTGAATGAGCAGTACACGGCGCTAAAATGCCCGCCGTACATGCCTAGGTTCTACTGGCACGCGGAGGCGGTACCGTTGGTCGAGAAAGAAGCCAGCAGGCGAAAGTTGGCGTGCTCGAGTGGTCGCTGCCTGCAACAGCTACAGGTGCCCCGAAAAACTGACAGTAGTCTAAGGCAGGGCGGATCGTGCCGAATGCAACAAAACAACCAAAACCACCGTTTCGCACAGAGATAGTGTATCCGACCCTGTTTGAAACAGTGGAAAGGCTTTACCACTTGATTGAACGATTTTGCATGTTGCTAGGGAGTACGCGGAGATGATAGGAGCGTCGACGCGGGTGCGCGGGGACACAAACACAATGCTCTGGTTCAGGCGTCCTCATGAATGATGTCAGCACGTCCAAGTATATCGTTCCTTCCTGCAGCCATACTTCATTGATGTGATCAGAATTCCCATCAACGTGTTTCGGTGCCAGGAAGGATGTGTACACCTGGAGATGATGGCATCCTACAGGAAAGACTGCGGAACCACAGGTTTCTCCACGCGTGTTTTTGGGCCGCGGCCCCTCGTACGCGAGGCTCTCACCTGTTCAGCATGCGTCCCGGACATTCCGAGCTTCGCTGATGACCCCTGGCTTAGTGGTGAGCGGTGTACCTGCGTGTGCGCCATATTGGGCGGAAACCGCTTGCATTGCATATTTCCGGGGCCGCCCCCCGTCGTAAGCGCCATCCAGATTGAGAACCTTCTCTCTGTTTCATCTGCAGTGTCCGCCGAGGTCAAAATGCTCGGGTGGTTCGGACCCACGATAACTACAGTTGCCCCGAAGAAGCGGCGGGAAGGCGAGGCGAATAGTGCCGAATGTCAGAACAACAACACTCGCATGGAGATTGTGCATCCGATCCTGCTTTTGAAGCGCGTACAGGCTCACCACTTCAACAGGGCCAAAGTAGCAAGAGTTGGCATGTTGTCAGGGAGCATGTGGAAGAGATGGGAGCCGCGTTCACCAGGGCGGTCGGTCCAGAAACACGCGTGGAGAAAGACTCAGGTTCCCGCGTCGTTCACGTGCCTTATCAGTATGTCCAGGTACGTGATTCCCTCCTGCGACCTAAACACGTTGATGAGATTCTAATTCCCATCCATGTGTTTCGGTCCCAGGAAAGGACGGGTAAACCTGGAAACGCTGATCGCCTACATGAAGGACGCCGGGACCAAAGGTTTTCTCCACGCATGTTTCTGGGCCACGCCCCCTCGTAAGCGCGAGTTTCGTATCAGTTCCGCATCCTTCCCGAAAACATGCCAACCCTCGCTGATGACCCCTTGTGTAGTGATGAGCGGTGTACGCGCGTGTGTGCTACATTGGGCGGAAACCGCTTGCCCTAGGGTCTTGGCTTCGGGCATCTGGACATGCTGTACCGAATGAGCAGGCTGGGGGCATGCAGTGATGGAGGTGAGTTTGTGAACGTATGTGCATGCCAAGATGGTGACAATGCCATAGCTCTAGTAGTGCGACGACGAACTACGTGTGTGGTGTATCCAAACGCCTGGACTTAACGTACATCGGGATGATCGAGTGTGGAATCCGTCCAGGAAGATGTTCACACGCACTGTCCCTTTACGAACGGGCAAACATCGAGGGGGCATCCAAGGGCACAGACTGAACATCAAAGCGGTTTTCTCGGGGGATGCTGCAGAAGAACAGATATAGACAAATTGTATCGATCTGGATGATACTTACGATGGAGGGTGTTCGGCTAAGGGATGCAAGTTGGGAGAAAGCCTCAGTTTCCGGCATCTGTCATGGTCGGCTGCCAGTATCTCCACGTACATGCTTCCTCTCCTGCCACCGAAAGAGGTTGATATGGTACCTACAACAACGTGTTTCGATGGCAGGAAGAGAAAACATGAACGTGACAACAATGCCAGCAAACCTGAAGGACGCCGGAAGCAAAGGATTCCTCAACGCACATTCCTGGGCCGCCCCCGCTCGTAAGCGTGGTCCTCAGCACGATGCTCCCATTGCCTTCCCGCCGCTTATTTGGGTGACTGACAGTAGCTGCGGATCCGACCCCACCTGAGTATCGCGACTTTCGCTTGCTCACCTCTTCCATCAAAGCTTCTGCCTTCGACGACCAGAGGACCACGGAATTGAGAGTTTCCGTCCCCCCACCTGGTTCTTCTCACTCACAATCCCTTCGTACAAGCTCCCGAATCCTCGAAAGTGCCCTCCGCCCTGCGCGGAGTTGAGGCCTTTCGTGTGCCTGTCACCCACAATATCCCAGGTACACGAAAGACCTCAACTCAGCACGGGACAGAGGGCACACTGGAGGAGTCGAGAGTCTGTCCGAGCAGATTGTGGGTGACCAAAACGAGGTGATCCGGACGGCTACCCGTGCCGGGTTCTCTCGCTGCTGAAGGCGGAATCGTTGATCGAAGAGGGGAGCAGGCGAATGTTGATATGCCCGATGGCCTCAAGTCGTCACTGCTACAGGTGACCCGCAGAGCCGGCGGGAAGGCAGACCGGATTGTACACACGCCAACATCAACAACACTCGCGTCGAGATGGTGCATCCTGCCCTGTCTTGAAGCGCGTACAGGCTCACCACTTCAACAGGGTCAAAGTAGCAAGAATTGGCATTTTGTCAGGGAGCACGTGGAAGAGATAGGAGCAGCGCTCACCGGGGAGCGCGGCCCAGAAATCCGCGTGAAGAAAGCCTTTGGTTCAGGCACCCTTCACTTACGCTGTCGGCATGTCCAGGCACACGTTGCTTTCCTGCGACCAAAACGCGTTGATGGGATTGACATCCCCACCAACGTGTTTCGGTGCACGGAAAGAGCGGGTGTACCTGGAGATGCTGGTCTCGTGCGTGAAGGACGCCGGAACCAAAGGTTTTCTCTACGCACGCGTGTTTCTGGGCCGTGCCCCCTCGTAAGCGAGCGTCGTACCTCGTCAACATGCTTCCCAAAAGTATGGCGACCTTCAATGATATATGGCAATGGGTCTAGTGATTGATATTTTTCTAAAGCCCGAGCGAAGAGAGAGACACCAAACTGGCAGAGAGAACGTTCCCGCAGACACGTTTCTGCGGCCTTTCTATCGAGCCTCTGCCTCTCTCCCGATGAATACTCTCTCTCTTTTCTCCAAACAGCAACTGAGGGTACTCTCTCCTGCGGTGGAGGAAACCAATCTTACTGCACACAGTAGTCTCAGATGACCAAGTCTCTAAAATGGTACCGTACCATTTTCTTCGCCTCACATACAGCTACACTCCTACCGGATACTTGAGTGAGTCCTCTCTTTTCCCCCACCTTCGAAAGAAAAAGGGGTGGGTGGGTGGGAAAAGACTCCACTTCCTGTCAGCTCCA